TAAGATAGTATTTTGTGAAATATTGTTTAATCACAAGTTTAATGTTTATATACGTTCGTGCAATGCATTACCATATCCAATACTATGTGTTATTTGAATATTCTATTTAACGCAAAAGTAAGCTATTTGTAATCTTTATATATATATTTTTTCTTTTCATTCCTAGTCAATGTTTTAGTTTCCACTGAATGAAGGCTAGGATTATAGCCAAAACGTATGGATGTAAAATAATTTTTGGTAGATATTACTAGACTTTGTTACTGTACATATATATCTTGACGTAAAAATTTCAAAATCTATTTGTGTAAAATAAATCATACTTTCAAGTACAAATGTAAAATAATCAATAAAAAGTATGTAATTTTAAACACAGACATCAATTGTTTTTAAAACAGGTTCAAAGATATTTTTTTATTATTTTACATGAATTTGATCATTAAAATTATTTTTCAGGTATTTGATGTTTGCATTTATTTACATGGAATATACAAATAAATCTATTTGATATCTTTATACGCTTTTACTTCAACAGTTAGAAATCTAATTTTCAATACACTTAATACGTTATATATAAATATATATATGTATATATGATATATAAATAGATACATGTATATATGATATATAAATACATATCAATTGTTATAACATCAATTGCTCGATTTATATATATTTATATATTTATATCTTTCAGTATAAAACCAATGCCATTTAATTAAAATTTAATTAATGAAAAAAAATCTTAGCGATAACAGTTAGCGCTAAATCAAATCAAAGGCATTTTCAAAATTCTGTATGCTTTTAAAAAATCTAATGTTTTATTTTGTGTCATCAAAAACTTTATCATAGACTATTCACATGAAATATTCTATCAAATAAGATAATGATTGACTTTAAAATATAAACCATTATATAACATTAATATATTACTATCAGTATTGATTAATTGTAATTATATTATTATTTCACCTCTGGAATAATTAATTTGAGACACAAGCTGACCTCTTATTTCGTTTTGTATGAAGCCAAGCCAAAGTAGTAGCCCGTGAGTATCCAAACTTCGTACAGCAGCTGTTTTGAAAACTTGCGGAGAACTGAAAACTAAGATATTTGAAACTACAAAATCTTAAATTTGTTGGTACATTCAGCAATTGCATTTCTATTTTATTATACCTAGGTGAATTTCCACTGTTACATATATTAGTTAGTGTACTTAAGTACGTTTTTTTCATGAAGGTTTACAAAGACTATCATAAATACTCAAAGAAACAAAAATAAATCCTACTGGACGATAAATAAATCCTAGATAAGTTGCCTCTCCTGAAATTTGAATAATTTTTATTTATGTAAAGTCTGATCTTTAAAACTCAAATTATATATATATATATAAAAATGTATTACACATATGTATATACATATATGTATACATACATATATATGTATATACACATATAAATATATGTATACATATTTTTAAAAACGATAAAAATTTCAAATATGGTACAAAAATTCATCAAAATCTTATAAATTTTTAAAGATTTAGAAAATAATGAAAAACTCTTTATATAAAATATTCATGTTCAACTTTTATAAATTTGTAGAAATGTAATGAAAAAAAACGTGTTGTAAAATATTCATATACATACGTATTTCTTAACTCAACTTAAGCATTTTGGAAAATTTCACAAGTTCCAAAATTTTTAAATAAAATATTTATCTAATAAAATTATGGACTATCATTAAAAACCTGAGATTGAAATTTTGAATCATTATTTATAATGATCATGGACAATAGACATTAAATTTTAAGATATATAAAATAATATAAAGTATGTTAGATTATATAACAATAGCATTTCAATTTAATGAAATACATTTTATTTGAGTCGACATGAATGTCAGAAATCTATTGCACGTATTAAAGACGTAACCAAAGAATGATTTATACATGTTTAATGATTCCCAACCCTACACAATTCTTAACACCCTCCAAGATGTCATCGAATTGAGCTGAAAATTTAAAACCAGAATGATAAAACTTGTTTTACCTTAATATGAACCTGAAATATCATGTTGTATCAATTTGCATATTTAGTCATCTCTCACAATTCAAACTTGTGGAAGTTCAAACGATGTACAAGAAACAATGCTGTTTTTAATGATATATATTATTTCAGTCTCATGTTCATAGCGAGCAAACTCCATCTGAGCCTCAAGCTTCTCCTCCTCCATTAGCATCTCGCGTTTGAGTGCCTCATTCTTTTGTTTGTACAATTCGTGCAGTTGCTTCCAGCGTGTGCCGTACTCGTGTTCAAATGAACCAATGTCAGCAAATCTGGGACCGGCCTGACGAGCTTTGAAGAATTCTGGATTTTTCTTCAACATGTTCTTTTCCTGGACGCCATCGATGTCGTCGACAAAGTCGAAGGGCTCGACGATCACCGGACGAAGAGAACTGAAAAATAAAAATTAGGTTAAAATAAAATAATAAACATGATACTTGCTTGATCAAATAAAATGGTGTGAAATAAATTCAGTGTTTTGAAAAGTAAAATCAGTGTGGTTCAGAAACACGGACCAAAACAATATCATCATGGAATATTTCCAATTAAGTATTGGAAGTAATCATTTTTTTTAAAAGGATATTACTAATTACTACTTACGAAGTTAAGAAGAAGTATCTATCCTAGCAATGCCTAATTGCTGCCATAGCACCATTTTTCCTTTGATATTCAACAATGCCTTCACCAGTGGATTTGCCCCTTTCATCAATGGTGATGATGCAACGTTCAATCTAAAATTTTACACAATTTTGAGTTTTTGCCAATACAACACACAATATTGTGTTAAGTATATTGTTTCTTTTATCAGATACAATAAATTGCAGCCAAATAATATTTTCATTATATTCAAACGGTAATTAACTTCATCATAAGTGCATGTAATATAAATTAATATATAAATATATTTTTGGAATGTTTAATTGCAGTCAATTAGTCTAAATAATAATAACAATTATAAATATATAATAACTATGTATGTTTTGACATTGCATATGTGTCATCATTCAACAAATTAAAAGTAAAATTAAAAAAAAAAGATTTAATAAAATATATTGATACTAGAAGAAAAATCAACTTATATTGCTTTATAAAAATAATATATATATATATATAATGAATAAATGTAGTCAAATCCAATAAAAATCTATAATTTCAAAAAATAAGATCAAAAGTTTCAAATCAGAAATTTAATAATATTTCAAATTATTAACATTGAAGTATTACACCTTTTCTTAAATTTTAGTTTTTTTGGATTTGACTACATAAATATATTATATAAACTTAAAATATTATATACTAGATAGAAAAATAGATAAAACAGAACTTGCAATAAATTTTGAAATTGATAATGTGATCAATTTTAAAAATCGATAACAATACAAAGATACGTAGTAGAAACTAAAAAAAATATGTAGATAAAGTAATTTACAATGAAAAATTTCTAATAAATTTTTAAACAGTATAATATAATTATATTAATTATATCAATTTAATTAAATTGAGTTATAAATTTTAAAAATCATAGTAAATTATGCAATCAAATCCAACGAGACTTTAATTTTTGAAAAAAGTAAGGTTAGAAAATTGTAAAAATTTCTTGAAATGATTTTAAATAATATAAGGGATATAAAATACATAAATATATATATATATATATATATATATATATATATATATGTGTGTGTGTGTGTATGTATATAAATGATAATGTTATGCAATAAAATTTAAAATTTGAAGAAAATAGAACAAAAGTTTCAAATGAGAAATTAAAAAAAAATATAGACAAAGATAAATTTTGAGAAAATTTTAGAAACAATCAGAAATTGTGAAAAAAATTTTGAAATGATTCTAAATATTATAAGGAATATAAAATAAATTTATATTTGTAATGAATGAATGTAGTCAAATCTAAAATTTGCAAAAAATTAAAAGAAAAATCAGAAATTGGAAAATTAATAAAAAAGAAGTTATAAAATTAATTAAAAAAAAAATTATATAGAATAAAGTCATGTAGTCTAAAATTTGAAATAGATGTTAGAAAAAAATACAGTTTAATATGATTTTTGAAATAATTAAAAATATTTTGATAATAAATTTATCAAATATAATTGAAGTTATGTAGTCAAATTTAAAAATTGAAATTTCAAACAAATTTAAAAAAAACATTATTTATAATAGGGCATACTGCTAAGATCATTTGTGCTAATCCATTAATAATAAATATAAATTAAATGTTATTTATAAAAAAAAATATTAAGAAATTGTAATCTTTGAAAGTTCGCTGAGCCTGTTAAAAACATTGAATGATGACCCATAAATGTCTAAACTGTAAACTGTAATAAATTGTTTTTTTATTTAGACTATTTGTCTGCAAATAAACATGTTAACAAGAAGAATAAAAAATCTGAGACATTTTTTATTACTCACCGGTCCAAAAATCTCAAACGCCTTATACAACAGCTCATTCGAAACCCACGGTGTGAGATTCTTAATCTTGATGGCAGTGCTGTTGGGTGCAAATCGAATCCTCAGAGGCCTTCCTTTACGAATGCTGCCATCCAATTCACGCTTTGCCTTCTCAGCATTGACTCTGTAGTCCATGCGGATGAATCCAAATGAATGAATTCTCCTTGTTGATGAAATGTTCGCTGGTTTCTCCATAGGGTTTGAACATTTCGATAATTTCTTCCTCTGTAACGTCGTTGGTCAGATTGCCAACATAGAGCCTGCCACGGCCTGTGAATTTAACCTCTGCCATGTCTAGGGGAGGGAGATCCAGCACTGGTCCGGCGAGGGTTTGCAGCTTCTGCTGGAGCATGTGTTCCTGGGGGTAAAGGACATATGGATTAGATCACACTTAAATTCATATTTCTTTAGTTAGGAATAAAATAAAACTACTAGTTTACAATCAAAAAGTGGAAGACATTTTGAATTTAATATGATTGACTATTTCATACAATGAAAATTTTTTCATACTATGAACCATTAATTAAGTATTATATAATAAATTTTTTTATTAAATCTTTTCTTTGAATTCATATGCCTAACTTTGTTCTTTCTAATTTTATAAAGCTCAAACAAATTTTAATATTAAAAAGTAAATTTCAAAATGATAATTCATATTAAGTATAAAAAATGAACTCCTAAAATGATTGTATTAATTAATCATTGAGATGTTTCGTAATGTTTATTTAAAAGTTGCATACGAGGTCATGTAATTGAAATTACATGAAGATAAATTATCTGTATATAGAAATGAACTTTATATAAGAAATATAAAATATTTCTCACATTTCAATAAGAGAATCTATTAAAATAAGCTCAAAATAAAATACATTTTAAGACAATGAACTGGAGTAATAAAAATTAATTCACTTCCTCCATAATAATCCTTTGAAATATATAAATATCTAGCCATTAATTTAAGTAATTGATATTTTATATTTGGAAAGTTTAATTATATAAATTTTAACTGATTATATAATTTTATTTCGTAAAGCTAAGTTCTGTACTTAAACAAATAAATATCCTCATTAAAGTGGAAAATAATGTAAAAGGCCTAATTGATTGCATACCACCACCATTTTAAATGTAGCAGTATTTGGCTTACATAATTATACATTTTTGTGATCAAGCAAATTTGTGCATACAAAATAGTTCACGTTTACCAGTGTTCTTCAATTCATATTAAACCACAAAACAAAGATTGAATAACATTGAATAAGTGTTGTGGCGACGGTTGTTCTGATCTTGACATGACCAAAGTTTCGAAAAAATCTACCATAACATAACAAAAATCCAATATTGCAACAAATTTCTGACTAAATGAAAAATTATTACTAAACATCAAAATAAGAAATTGAGGTTAAGTTTCGACAGTTGCGACAAATGTTTTGACATATATGAATGCTCTGCTGTTGGTATGCCTGCTCAGAAGAATTTCTGATTTTTTGAATGTTGGTACCGTGATTTTTTCGTTTCAGCACTTTATTAATCCGGTGTTTAGAGCCGTGTCACATCGAGCCACTGTCACTTGGATGGCGTTTGAGGAAATGTTGGATTGTTTGCAGTGATTATTAAATGTAAGTATTTATATTTTTATTAGTACTTATTAATTAATAGACTCGTATAAAATAAAGTTTTGTTCTAAAGTAAATAAACTTTCTAAATCTAATAATTAATAAATAATTCATATAACTTAATTTGATTGTAATCATTAATTAATTAAGACTTTTCGAATTAACTTGACAATATTGTATAAAATAAAGTTATTGTATAAAATATTTGACTTGTATAATAGTAAACTTTAGTTTGAAAGTGAATAAACCTTGTTTGTAATAAATAATTTAACTTAATTAATAAATGATTACAATGAAATGAAGACTTTTGGAATTAATTTAATAATTTTTTTTACTTAAAAAATATTTAGCAAATATATTGTTTAAAATAAAGTTTTGTTTTAAAGTTAATAAACATTGTTCTGAATAAATAATTGAACTTAATGAATGATTTCAATAAAATGAATAGCTTTCGAATTAACTTTACAAATTTGTTATTTGATTGTAGTTAGTCTAAAAATATTTGATTGTATTTAACTAATAAATTGTTTTTATTTTCAGTAGCTGCATGCATTGGTCATACTTTGATGGCATTGAAGAATTGTGCAAACAAAGAGGGGAAAGTGGCTGCGAGCATCTACGCAAAGTAAGTGTTTTATTAATATTGTAAAGTATTAAAAAGTCCATGTTGATTAATTAACTTGATTAATTATCAAAGACTTTGTGATGAGATACACTTTGTATTTCGATGCAAAGTGTTTGTTAATTAATGAACAAAGACTTTGTGATGAAATACACTTTGTATTTCGATGCAAAGTCGATGTTAATTAATTAACAAAGACTTTGTGATGAAATATACTTTGCATTTCAATGAAAAATCTTTGTCAATGAATTAACTTGTTTTGTTTGTTTGTTTCAGATAAAATGCCTTGTACTGAAAACAAGTCTTGTACGAAGAACCGAGCTTGCTGCAAAAAAAATGATGACGAGTGAAGAAACTGAAAAAAAACTTAGGAGACTTGGGAGACGGCTCAATGTAAGTTGATAAAACTTTGTCATAAATAAAATTATTTATTTATATAATATATGTTTGCTTATAATTTTTAATTTATTTTCAGACTTGGCTGCTTTGAATGCTGATTGATGCAGGTGTTGTACAAAATGAAGAACTTTCACTGGACTTGGTTGCTGACGATGCCTTTCCATAAGACGATGAATTCTGGCCCACACTTGGTAAGTTGCTAAAAATAAGTCGATTATATTTGTTTATTTATGTGTTGAATATTTGACTTATATTTTTGTTTGTTTATTTATAGACTTTGTTTGATGACTTGGATGCTGATGATGCTTTTCCACAAATGATGAAGACTTTCTGGACTTGGATGATGCCTTTGGTGATGACTACTCGGTGTACTTGCTTTAATCGACCTGATTAAAATGTAAGTTTTTAAAAATAAAAAATAATAAAATTAAAGTCTTATTTCTAAAAACTTGAAATACCAAGTGTATTTCATCACAAAGTCAAAGTCAATCAATCATGTAGATTAATTAACCGACTTTGTGTTGAAATATACACTTGGTATTTCAATGCAAAGTCTATGTTAATTAATTAACAAAGACCTTGATGAAATACGCTTTGTATTTCAAGTTTTTAGAAATAAGACTTTAATTTAATTGTTTCTGATACTTATGTTTGTTTTTTCTTCCAGACTTGGACACTTTGGATGGTCTCCCAGACTTTGATGCCGATGATGTCTTCTACAAAATGATCCAGACTTGCCAATTCAGGCTTCGCTAACTGATTGCTGCGTTTTTTCCAACCGACCTGATTAAATGTAAGTGTTTAAAATTGAGACTTGAATTTTATTTCTCATGCAAATGATTTTGATACTTATGTTTTTGTTTTTCTTTACAGATTGATGGATTGAAGACTTGGATACTTGCATCGTCTTCCAGACTTTGCTGTCAATGATGTTCTTCCACAAATGCAAGATTTTCAAGACTTGGCAAATCAAGCTTTGCTGACTATTTGGTGCGTTCGAAATTGTAAGTTCTTAAATTTAAGACTTAGAATTTCGAACGCAGCAAATAGTCAGCAAAGCAGGATTTGATAAGTCTGTATTGCATTTGTGGAAGAAGAACATTATCGACAGCAAAATTTCAAAGTGTGGCAAATGAAGACTTAGCAGACTGCACTCGCTTCAATTGACCTGATCGATCATTGTAAGTTTTTAAAACGAAGACTTTAATTTTATTGCAAAATTGATTTTAATACTTAGGTTTATGTTTACAGATGTTCCTGCAGACTTTGATGCCGATGATGTCTCCGACAAATGATCCAGACTTACCAAATGAATCTAGGCTGACTAGTTCGTGGCTTTTGCTGCAATCAACCTGATAAAAAATAAAACTTTCATGTTTATTTGTTAGTTTGTTTATGTGTTTGTTCACAGATCGATCGATTGATTGATGATGGAGCAGCACAGCCAGTTATTGCTGCAGACTTTACTAAGGTTTGAAAAAAACTTCTATAAATCAAGTGTGTAATGAATAAATTAATTAATTTGTCATTGTTTTAATTAATAAATTAATTAGTTATTTTTATTAATATAATAATATATTATATTATGAGAGAGAGAGAGAGAGAGAGAGAGAGACCACTGATGACATCAAATTGTATGTCGAAACGTTTGGAATTAAAGATTCATTTAGAAATCTTTGCCTTTTCTTTGTTTGATGTATCGCCCTCTAAAACTCACTCATATATTTCAACATCTAAATTAACTACTATATATGTATACACATATACATATGCACATATATATATACATATATATTACTATATATACACATATACATATGCATATATTACATAATAAGATTTTTCAGCCACAAGTCAAAAAAGAAAAACAAAACGTAAATATAAAATCTTTAATACGTTTCGATCTGTTGTCCTAGCTCATTCAGCTAAAATACAAAAAAAGCAATAAAATCAAACAGATTTAAAATTATACGTCCCAAAAAAACAAAATATGTGTATATATAGAATTTTAAAAAATTAAAAAAAGTTATCAAAATATTTCAAATTCTGAAAAAGAAGAAGAAAAGATAATATCAAGTAGTGAAAAAATTATTTTAATAATAAAAGAAAACACAGACTTACATAAATTAATTAAATTTGGATAACTGTCTAAAAGCAAACAAGAAGAATTTCTCTTATTTACACATTGTGAATTTAAAAAAAATCTAACTGATTCAGGAAACCTTCTTAGCTCAACATTTTGTTCAATATATAAAATAATGAGTTTCTTTAAATCAAAAGTGTATTTATAAAATTTTGGTTATGCTCAGATAACGCAGTTTTATATTGATTTTTATTTTTTTAATTACAATTACGTTATGTTGAAGCATTCTCTTAGATATACACGTACATATATTGTTCATTACCATTCACTTCCTAAACTGATTCAACAATTCTATTATGTGGTGTTTTTGATTTTAAAAAAGTATACAAAAAATTTCAAGTATTTTCAAATTTGAAAACTAAAAGAAAACCTTCTTCGGAAAATATCTTTTTTAAAAAATAAGTAAAAATGCCTGAAAATGGTAAAGGAATAATAGTATCAACAAGTAACGAAACATTATTCATATTAGTTTTATTATTATTGCAATATTAAAAAAATACGTTTTTTTATAATATGAATAACTAATTTTAACGGGTATGAATTGTCCACAAAAATTTCGCGGATTAAATCTATATTTTTATTCCAAAACATTAAATTACTCGAAACAATAGCTCAATTCATGAAATAGAAATTTTGATCGGACGGGAATGAAAGGAAAAATAATTGATGTAACGACCGGACCAAGTTGGCTAAACTTTGAATAAATTTTGTTGTTGTTAAATCTAATAATTTTAATATCTAAAAAGCTAATAGAATTGTCAACCTCTTGTTCACAAGTGAACTGCAAATGTTAACTGAAAGAATTAGAACAATTCAAAGTTTGATTGATACAGTTATTATCTAAACATAAAACAATGCCATCAACATATCTATAATATATGAAAGGTTAAACAGGAACTATAGGTCAAACAGAATTTTCTACAAGTTGTTATGTCAAATCGGCCAAAGGGGGACTAATACTAGAGCCCATTGGCAAACCAAAAATCGGTGAATAAAATTTATTTTCAAAACAGAAAAAAGTATTGCTAAAAATTAATTTTGAAATGTATTTGAACCAAAATAAGTTTATACAGGTGTAGGGTTGGATATCATTCCAACGAACTGAGATAGCATCTAACGCTAAGTCCCAAGGAACATTAGTAAAAAGCGATATTAGATCAAAACTGACAAGAAAAAAAAATCAGGGAGAATTTGTAAATTATTTAGACGTTTGACTGAATTTAAAAAAATTCAAACATTAAATTCCGACAAAATGGTGGCCTTAGAAAGAATGGTAATAACGTGCTTGGTAAGTTAAATTCTGTTTTTATTTTATCGACTTGTGGCTGAAAAACCTTATCACATTATATATATATATATATATATATATATATATATATATATATATATATATATACATATAAACATATATACATATATATAAACATATATACATATATATAAACATATATACATATATATATACATATATACATTAGGGCGGTCCTTAAAATGGTTATTTTCGAATTTCCTTGCCCCATGGGCTCAAATGGTTCCAAATAGATAAAAAAACAATTTTCTGAAAGTTTTAGCTCTTAATATTAACGTTTAGATAGAGCGCAATTCAAAGTTTTGTATGGAAATAGTATGGAAAATTTTCAAAAATTTTAAAAATGTTTTTTAGATGTAATTTAGCGAACAAATAAATGAATAAAACTTATTCATTTGTCGTTAAGTTATACCTAAAACATTTTTTTTAAATTTTCAAATTTGTTTCCATGCTCTTTCCATACGAAGTTTGATTGAATTGCGCTCTATCTAAACGTTAATATTAAGAGCTAAAACTTTCAGAGAATTGTTTTTTATCAATTTGGAACCATTTGAGCCCCTGGGAGCAAGGAAATTCGAAAATGACCATTTTAAGGACCACCCTAATATATATATATATATATATATATATATATATATATACATACACATATATATACATATATATACATATATACATATATATATATATACATATATACATATATGCACATGATTTTCGTATACTAGGGATCAAAATAAGACACTTTGCCAAAGAAACCATATCTCTAAAATGAATTTTGATGTCTCTTGCATTCACCCAAAGATTGGATCAGATTTTAAAAAATCTGTTTTGGATCATTTTTAGCGTCTCAATAATGACGAAATGTATGACCAACCCCCCGTAACTTTGGGAGGCCAATCTACCCATGCCCATGGTTCACCCCCTGGAATCTCCCTTTAGAAGTCCCCCCAATACAAAAGTTGTATCATTCTGGGTACTCCAACATGACAAAAATCTGCAATTTATTTTTATTGCAAAATTTATTTCATCATAAGATATGTAAATAAAACTATGTAAAACTCATAAACTCATTATTTGGATTTTTTTTAGTTTCAAGTCTAGAAAATTTTGCACGGCTCAATAATGTCGTCGCCGTTGCAGCCTCTAGCTAGCATAGAAGCTAGAAATGCTTTGGAAAATTGAAACAAAAAACAATTTTAATAACTTTTTTGTAAAAATCTTTTTTGTGTGTGTTTTAATTAATATCTAAAAAAAATTGAATAAAAAAAACATTTTTTGCTGAGTAAAATACCAAAAAACGATAATTTTTTGCAATATTTGTATGGGTGACCCTTTAAGGGGAGGTCCCAAGGGGTAAACTATAGGTATGGGTGGATATCGGTCTTCGAAAGTTAGTTGGGGTCTGTTATACATTTGGACGCGATTGGAGCATTGGAGAAATGGATTAGAACGGAATTTTTCAAAATTCAATACCTATTGTTGAGTCAATACACGAGACATCACAATTCATTTTAGAGGTATGATTTCTTCAGCAAAGTATCTTATTTTGATCCCTAGTATCCGAAAATTATATGTGGCTAAGCGATTTAAATCGACCCGCTGTAATATATACGTACATACATATACATGCATACATATATATATATATATATATATATATATATATTAACATACATATATATATACATATACATACATATATACATATATACATATACATACTAATTTATTAAATAATTTTCACAAACGTTTTAGGAGTAGGTTTGTCTCATCATCAATGTGTTTTAATTTAAAATTTAAAATATAGAAACTTAAATTAGCATTTTGTCACACAAGCCGCTCGATACACTCAATCGACTTGTAATGGATAACAAAATGCTAATTTAGGTTTCCATATTTTAAATTTTAAATTATAATACCCTGATGATGAGACAAACCTAGTCTCGAAACGTTTGTGAAAATTATTATTTAATAAATTAGTGCCAAAAAGTGTTGCTTGTTCATATTTTCAATTAATATCTATTATCCACTCCGAATACATTTGTTACACATATATATATACATACATATATACATAAATATATATATATATATATATATATATATATGTGCGTGTGTGTGTACCGCACCTACATCAAATTCATATGATAAAAAAATGTTCAATCAACTCCATGCGTAATATCATATAAAATAAACATCAAATGTTCATGCACTATATAAAAATCTATAGATCAAGTTCGTAAATTGAACTTATTTACTTTGATTAATTAATTCGACTCCGAACTAATGAGACGAAAACTATAACAAATTTGCAATATAGAAACAAACTTAAAACTAGCTGTAAGTGGAATTCTGTCTTGAGGCTATTATGGCATCGTGCCTTAAGGCAAATTGCTGGAACTTCCCGTTGAATACTGAATGTTTTCAAATAGATTATTATTTATATAAATATTGTATCATTGTCTAATATAAAATAATAAAATAAAATCTGAAATATTTTCGATATACAAAAACTAAAAAAAAAAAAAAAAAAAAAAATTGGAACAATTTTTTTTTTCCAAAATCAATTATTTTGTTAAGACAAGCAGAAAGTTCTTTCAATCATTTAAATCGGACGCTTACTTCTCTCAAAAACTGCCATTTTTTACATAATTAGCTCCGTATCTTCAAAATGGCTGGGCCTGCCTTTGCCAAAAACTAATAAACACTTCTCCCAATCATTACTAATTGAATGTTTTTTAGATCATTCAAATCGGATACTCCGTTCTCTCAAAAATTTGATTTCTATTTTCTGCACTCTTTGCTCCGTATCTTCGAAACGGCTGGACCTGCCTTTGCCAAAAACTAATCAGCTCTTTTCCCTATCAATAGAAATCGAATGTTTTTTGAACCATTCAAATCGGTTGATCCGTGCGCCCTAAAACGTGACTGAAAATTTGTATCCACACACACACACACACACACACACACATCCATTTTT